GAATGCATAACCAAACAATATCAGTTAATTAGTAGATAAAGCACATCTCGAAACTTTGCCACACAGTTTGCTAATTGTATATAGCATTTTATGATTGCAAAAGGCTTGACACTGCATGAACTCTTTGGGGAAGAAAAATAGAGAAAAAGGGTTAATTGCACATTCATGCAAGTAAGGTTAGGCTTCCAACAAATATCGAACCAACTTACTCTCTAAAGAGAGTTCCAACACAGGGGACAGCATGCAAAATGAAACAAAACCAAAACAAAAGAAAAGAAACAACAAAAAAGGGAAAAAGATAAAAACACACAAATTAGTGGCCATCAATACAAAGTTCCTGTATGGAATATAAAACAAAATAAAACAAAAAAGGTATTTCAAACCTTTATGATCAATTTAGTAATTTTATTGGGATACCCAATGTATTTTTCAAATAAGCACTTGGCATGTCCTTCAAATCATTCTCCCATTTTCTCCTCCAAATGTTATTACTCTCTTTTTCTATGCAACTACCTACATCCAGCTATCATGATAAAGTAAACCTTAAAAGTGATGACAGAATAATTCGTACAGACACCTGAGCAGAGCCTAAGATGATATTTATGTAGCTGTATGTGTGTGATAAGAAAAAAAATCACAGCTCATGAACTCCCAATATTTGAAAGATACTTCTGATAATACATTGATTACCGTTAACAGTTTTGCAACACCAAACAGCAGGCGAGATTTCCATGACTGGAACAAGCACCACATGTGTTATAACACAGGACAAATTTTCAAACTCAAAGTGACATTATTTCATGTCAAGAATGCCCAGTAAAAGAAAACAGTCAGCTGTAACAACTTGACGCAACATTGCTAAAAGCTTAATGCAAAGGTAAGATGCTCTTCTGACACATACAAATAAATTATGGAACATTCTCTTTATCCTTCCCTGACTCCTTCATTAAAAAAAAAATTTCCAGGGCAGTTCTCAGACCTACATTGCTACATTATCAATTAGCACAAGAACAAGCAAAATTAAACCAAGATACTATCCACGATTTTGTCATTACTTCATTTAAAAACCAGTAATATTTCAACATTTTTATGGAATGTTTTCTTTTCCTTAACTGCATGGTTTAGTCTTTTCTTTCAGATTTCTGCAGCAAGTGAGCAACTTTAATATCATGTTGCTGTGTGCAATCCAAGTTTTTCCTAAAATACATGGTGTCAGAGATGGCAGCTAAGTCACTTTTCACAGCAGGAAAAACAGGGAGGACAGATGAACAGTAAGTTAACCTGTCAAGACTTCTCATCAGTTTGAATTTAGTTTTCCATTGTAGCAATAAGGGAGACTTCAAAATATGCAAAATATATTGCATAATCAAGGTAGTTTTTCAGGATTCTGCTGGGAAAAGCCAGTACTTCTGAACTAATGCTTTGCTCTGACTTTATCTGGGTTATCATTTTATCCATTCGGAAATATGGACACAAAGTGGGACCTGTTATACTCAACAAAAAAGGTAAGGTTTCTTCCAAACGAGACTATAATTCAAATAAAATAGGATATTACACATTTCTTTTAACATTATACCATTTATTAGGCTCCTTACTTGTCTGCAGCCCTTCTGCTACAAAAAATTGTGACATATATCAAGCTGTACTAATAACCCACCTCCCACAAAAAGTGTAAAAATACTATCAAATGAAGGAACTCAGTTAAAGAGATTTTGATGATCTCAGAAAACAGATTATTTTCCTTGTTGGATCTGAGTCTTTACCTAGGTAAAACTGAATAAAACATCACATTTATACTGAAGTATAGTCTCCTTATTGAATACTAAAATAATGTAAAAATTATTTACCAGTCTCCACTGCCGGCCCTATTTATGAAATTCAACGAAGACATCACAAGATACGATAATACAAAATACCATGAAAAATAAGTAAGCAGACATTTGGCATAGTTTAATCCAATTATGTATGGTTTTGGCAGAATACTTCCTAATTTAAATTACTGCACACCCTTTTGTTACTAATTGAGAAAAAATCTTTACTCATGTTGAAGTGGCCTCTGTAAGAAACATAACTTCTTAAAAACACAAATTTTGAGCATGAACTGCTGATCAATGTATTTTATATGACACTAATCTCTCAATTAATTCCAATTATTCTGCAAAGAAAGGTGGAAAATAATTTGCACAAAACTGCAAATTAAATGAATTGCAATCTGATACCATTAACTACTTATGTTTGTCAAATTTTACATGTGCAAATACCATTGACATAATTCACCACAACTGCCTTTCTGTTAATATGTGTTTTCAAACATTTACTTAAAATAAGAAAAACCTACACATACCTTACTGTGAGGATCAGCAAACATTCTTGTGAAGATTTCACACAACCTTTTCAACTCAACACGACTGTCAAAGTGACAACAATACATTAGTCAACTCCCCTGCTAGTACTACTGGAACAATAATCAGTGAAATCGTCTGTAAATATTGAATCAAATAATCTAGTAAATGAAGTAAAGCATTTTGTTTAACACATGGATAAAAGTGCAATAGTTTTTGTCTAAAATGAGACTTTAAACCTAGAAAGCTCTCTTTCAACTGTCTCATGTATTATACCATTGCCAACTATTTTAAGAGGGCAGATATCGAAAAAAGTATTCTTAGTAACATACAGTACACAGCTCCTTCTGAATAAACAGGCAAAAAAATTTAATAACAAAAAATGAATTATAAGGTAAAAAATAAAACAAAGGCTTTCCCAACAATACTAGATGCAAGCATGTTAGGAATCTTTTGTATTGCAAGAATTCTCTTGATTTTAAACACAGTACATACACTAGTACATAAATATACACTGGTAGCCAGAAGTGACAAAAGCTTCCTCATTCCTTCCCGCATCTTACTCTCACAGACATGCACATGCTTTCTCTCTCCCCAGCTTTCTGCATTCTTTACAACATTAGCCTCCTTCCCTACTTCCCTTGCCTCTTCAACCTTTCAATAAAGTGGGTTTTTTGGTACTAACATGTCTTCTTACCTTAATGTTCTCTGGTTCTTCAGTAAGTTTTGCAGGCCTAGAAGGCCTTCTTTTCTCTCTGACCAGTTGGTGCTGGCACAGCGATTTAGGACTTCAGCCACATCTTCGGTCTGTCTCATGTATGTTGGGATGCTTCCATTCCTGGAGCTATAGGACCTTTCTGAGCAGGCACTTGATGCATCACTGTTGGCATCATCATCTGAGTACATCCCATAGGACTCATATCTCCTTCGCACAGGCTTCTTCTATTGTACAGAAACACTCCACATTAGCAATGATTTTCAAAGAGACAGTATAACATACCCAACATCAGCAGAAAGATCTACAGTTCAAATAATTGGTGTGACCCATACCCCTTGCAGTGACAAATGGCTCCAACTGCTCAGCAGGTCAAACCAAGTTAATAAATATATTTTAAAGAAGTATGGCTTGCATAGTATTCCAAACATAAAAGCAAAGCAAATTCAGAAGACATATGTTTGACGAAACATTTTAACGTAAGGTTTACTTGCAAGAACCCATAAAACTGCATGATAAGGTGACAAAGACTGTGTTGAAAGTTAGTTATTTAACTTAATAGCTTTATATATGCTACAGAACATAGGAACCAAGTCTAAACCCACATATTCTATGATTTTAACTTACTTTGTATCAAACATATTAATATCAAAACATTAAACTACTGAAGAAGAAAAATAGTTTCTATACCTTAGTCCGTATGTCTCCTAAGAGCTGTTAGCAGTAAATTATTGAAAAGAAACAGAAATTGAGAACAGGAAGGTAAGGCACAGCAGCATTCTGACTAGTAAACTCCCTGCCACTGGACAACACTTAGTCTTACTATAAATTATGTTCTTAGCACTCTGTATCTGATTAGCATACCATGCATTGCCAAAAAGTAGTTTGCTAAGCTTCCATTTCCAAGGAAATATATCATCTGCTGGTTGGTCACAAAGACTTCTCTGTTAAAATCTTTGTGTCTTAGATACCTGAGCATGAATACTTAACACATGCAGTCAGTTGTTACCTAGGTATGAAACCTTCATTTAAACTTCTTTTTCTCATCAACTTCTCCATCTCTGTCTTTAACCTCAATATCTAAATTTTGTCATTGCAACAAATTGCTACAGCAAAGTTGTATAAAAAAATTAATTACATCATGCAAAATCCCAAATCCCTTAAAAACAACACCAAGCCAACAAAACAGAACAAGAGAAAAAAAAAAAAGCTATTTATCCCAAGAAGAAAAAAAACACACCACTGCAAAACAGCACTTGCCATTCACATTTTGGAGTTGAAGCTACTAGTTGAAAATTCAGTTTTGTTACATGCTCCAAAAAGCAGTAGTGTGACTGTTTTTCCCTTAATAACCATTGCCATTGGCACAGGGTTCTCACTTTTAACCATGGATTAACTTCAAGGATATCACAATACAAACCAGTCAATACAGGCTTATTGTCAACAGAACATGCTTACATACATGTGTAAGGGAATAAAGGAAGGAAAAAAAATCACAGACACAGGTTTTTGAAAAGAGACACCATAAGGAAAAAAAATGTTTCTAAAATACTCTGAAATGCCAAGAACTGTACTAAAGTAAAAGACATAAAAATATGCAAAGATCACCATCATAGCTGCATTTCATGCAGCATATTCAAAACAGAAGACTGAAACCCCTTAGGCTTAAGCAGAATTAAAATTGGTTGAGTATTTTCATATCATAAAAATAGCAATACAATCTGGAGTATTTCTGATTTTTATATTACATCTGTCAGGACTCTACATTCTACCTTTTAAAAACACTGTTATGAGGGTGAGTCTTCAGTCTGTGAGATAACCACAGGGGTGTTTATAACCAGATTTCCATCTAAATGGAGCCGTTTATACATGACAATCAGTACATTCACAGCATGGCAAAGAACCAGGCATGCAAATACTGCAGTAATAAAATGTTGTGGCTCTTGATCCTTCTTTGAATGTCAGATTCTAGTTAAAATATATAAACTAACTTTCTGATAGCATTTCTAGAACTATCATGGTATTTTGGACTCAGGCAATATAAACTAGTTTCTGTGAACAAATGTTATTGCTTCAACAAAGCTACACACACTCAAGCCTCAAGAGCAGTCATTGGAAACATGACTTTCTCCTTAACTTACATCCTTACTACATACTTTGCCCAACTAAATTTAAGTTAGGAGGCTGCTTAAAGGACTAAAGACACTCTTCATGAAGCATCAATGTGGATAAACCTACAGGACAGGCTTCAAAATTATAGCCAGAAACTTCCATGCAATTTTTCTACTGTTTGCCACTCTGAAATCCAGACTGACTTCCAGTTTACTAACCAGCATTTTCCAACTACGCTATAAAATTTTTGCATGTTTATAATACCAGAAAGGGGAAAACCCACTCAGTTTCACCATGACCTCTTAGGATTTCACAGATATCCTATTCCCTATGCCAGTGAGGGCAAATTTTAAATTCATGTGTCAAGAAAAAATGATTAACCAAGAAATCAATAAATTGCCATGTTACAATATGACAGTTCTTCAGATTTTTTCCTTTGAAATTTTGTTTCTCTATAGCCAGTTATATCTGGCTATAATTAGCTTCTGGAGTCTAATTTGTGTTTCTTACTAACATTCAAACTAATCTTTTTCTTAAAACAGAGAAACAGCCATTTCCTTAAAGCATTCTGATAACTAGAAAACAGGTACTTACAAGTATTTAATGATATGCAAATAGTATACAATACCTGATAAAATGTATCTGATTAATAGCATCAGTATTTTAAGTTAATTGAAGATTTCAGCATGCTGATGTAAATTTCAGAACAGTAGAACAGATGATGTGTTCAGTTTGGCTAATTGGGGCAGAGAGGTAGAAGAGACAAACCCACCCTTCCAAAGAGCAGTTGAAATTAAGAAGGAGAATGGCATAATCAGTTTTCACTTTAGTGCAACATTTTGAAAACAGAAGAAAGCAAAAAGTAAAGTTGCCAGATGTTGCCTGCCCAGCCACTGGTTTCTCTCTTCAGCATCAATCTCACATGTTGTCAGACAGAAAAACTTTAAATGGAACCCAGTCAGCAGAGACCTTCAGCTGTCATAATTCCCAGCTCTTACAAGATTAACCAGCTGTTGTGGGAACCTGCTGGGTAGTACTGGTTAGTGCTTCCTGCTCAAGTGGCTCCTTGGGCCACTCCAACGGAATAGCCCAAGACTATTTCCTGTCTGCCATGGAAAAAGCACATCTCTCAAAAGCTAAAACTTCTGCAGGAAACAAAAATTTCAGTACTTGCAGCTCCAGCAATTTAGTTTCTCTTTCTTTCCCTGCCAACAAGGCAATAAAGTAATGAATGACAAGTTCTCTAGCATAATTTAATGCACAGGTACCAAACATTTTAAGAGCCTGCAACCTACAAAAGTTAAGTGTGAGATTCTTACCAAAGCATCTGCTACTGCCTCTTCCACATCAGAACCTGTGTTCAGAACTCGCATAGCACTAACTGATGACGACAATCTACTCGACTGACTAATTCCAAAGCCAGCACCTGTTCCAACAACAAAAATAAATATAAAGAATTCAGTCAGAAGAGCAATCTGGGACACTGATATCACAGTCACTTGAAAAAAACCCAAGCAGAAGAAAAACATTTGCTTAACATTTTTAATAATTCATATAGTGGCTAAAATACTGGTTATTTGTATTCTGAAGTCTTTCATGGTATATAAAAAACTACATAAAAATACAGTCATGTACAAATATTCTATTCCAGTACCACATGGGAAAAAACCCTACAAAACAATGGTTTTAATTAAAAGAACCATTCATTTTTTATTTATTATTTTTTAAAATTAATGTCTTCTTCATTTTGGGTTTTTGTTTTCATTTAGAAAGAAAGCAAATATGATAGAAAGGCTATTGCGACTGCTGATTAGAAACTACATGCATAAAGAATGCTCTACAAGTACTAAAAATATGGCAAACTAAAAAAAGTTCTTCTGCAAGTGAAAATAAAATGATTGCTGTTAAGGATTAACATTGGAGGGTGAGGGTAGAGGCAAAATCTAGCAACATAAACACATCTATCTGGATTATTAAAACCACAAAACTCAAATTAATATAAATAATGCTTTCTAAAACTGAACTATGAGAATAACCAAGTGGGTGGGGGGAAAAAAAATAATCCAGGATGACTGCACAGATGACAGCAAAGTGTACTCATCCTTCACCTGTGGCCCCATAAGCATCAGGAGCGTAGAGGGCACCAGTGGATCTGGAGTGATGTCTGGAAGCTGCAATAACAGGATTATATAAACCCTATCTATGACCATGGAATCGAAGTGCTGCAATAGTTGCTCAGATGAACAAGAGAATATTTATCAAAAAAGATTCAGCTTAAGCACAAGAAACCGAGTATTACACAGAAGCAAGAATCTTCAGAGAAGTTCTTTGATTATACAGAACATGATTATATAGGTTTATGTACATGGGACATTTCATGCATAATTTGTTTTAATTTCAATGATTAAGAGCAGGGTAAAAGCAAGTATGTTTCAGTTCAAAGAAGGAAAAACGCACAAATACACATGTACACACACACACACACACACACACACACAGGATCATCAGAAACATCTAAGTTATCAGTGCACTGATACTGGTCTTCCATTACAGAATTAACTCAATTCCATGTGCTCAAGTCAGAGCCAGAGCTCATGTATCAAACATTATCTGCAAAAAGTGACTACTGCACAAACCTGCTGTGTCAGCAGCTGACAATCTGTATCACCTTGAGTTCTTGCCTATGTGCAGATAACTCAACCTCAGGTAAAACTCACCACTATGCAAATGAAAGTTAGAATTATCCAATTGTAATTAAAAGTTTTTAAAAATTCGATACAATTAATAATTCACATTTGTACTGTTTTGTTTAAAGAAATAAAACACTTATGCTATTTACCATAGCTCATTAATATTTAAGTCATGGAAACTGGTAAACAAAGATACTTAAGGATTGTTGAATAAAACAGTATTCCTCTCCTTGTGGCACTTGTATAAAACTGTTTTTTAGTGATTCTAAAGAAGTTGACTTGCCATTGACAGTATTTTCTTTCTTAAATGAAGTAATTTTTAAATTGTGTCCTTAAACAATTAATCTTCTTTCATCAGTTCACTTAAGTTAGAATTTTAACACCAGATAAATTACAATTTTAATTTGAATACACATACCCACCCACAGTGGCATAAACCCCTGATCTAATCTTATAAATGATTGTAAATGCAAATATTTTACACCTTTGGGATACATAAAGCAGTATAAATAGAAACCATGAATCAAATGAATCATCCTTTACTCTGATTAACAAAGACCATTTAAGAGTCTGATTTGAATCAGGTAATGGACCAAATAACTTTTGGAGAAGAACACCTCTTAACCTGAGCGCAGTCCAAAATGATCCTAACTCCTGCAACGACCCCAGAAACAGCATTAAATTCTCTACTCCTTACATAAGATGCAGCAATGAAGTTTATTTATAACTAATCCTGCACGAAGATGCTTAGCTAGGGCCTTTTATTTTGCAAGTAATGCTTTGTGGAACACTTGGTTCTTCAGAAAGTATGGAAAAGGAGACAGGACAGAGGATGTCAAAACATAGGCATAGGTTGATAGAGCTTTAAATACAACCATTAATGGGATAAAAACTTCTTCACTTTCCATCAACAAGCCTTGAAAACTGAAAGTACAATTAAAAATTCAAACTTCAGGCATATAGCTTGAAAGGATCCTGCCCCATATATATTTGAAATATGCTGGACAGGTTTTTACGACAGTGAAAGAAAGCACTATATTGGATGAAACATACCTTGTTCCAAAGCATATTTTCAAGAATATTACTTATTAAACTGCAGAAATTGTACAAGTATTTACTTTTGTTTCACTTTTTTGAAGATGAATCAAAACAAGATTTTAAATGGACTCACAGTAAGATACCTTTTCAGCTAAAATAAGGGAAATATACTATTCTAAAATTTAATATTCGCTATATGTAACAGAAAAACAGGCACTTCCATATATATCTATGATAAATAACTTGTTTCTCAGTGTCTCTTACCTCTCAGTTTATCATGTTATACTGAGATGTGAGGATACATAAGCACTTCATACCAATGTATACCGTGAAGCACTTATGCAGCATTTGGGTCATTTTATGCCCAAAGGGCTTAGAATGTGTAAGCAAAAACTCCTGTGCTGAGAATGAGAAGCAATACAAGCTACATTCCCTCCCACCACCCCCAACCCCATGCCAAACTGTCTTCAGCTACACAGAGCTGAATCTGCCTTATTTCATCTTTTATTTGTAGCCCCAAAAAACATTAAATTTATTATTTTTGGTAGAAGTTAATAGCATCCCACAAGACAAAATTGGTCCAAAACCACTGAATGACATCTGACATAATTCAAATCAGAAGTCATAGCAGAAGGAATCCTCACTTATTCCAGGTGTAGCTGCCTTTTTTCTATACAATGCTGGATTCCTACACATGCTACTTTGCATTCTCTGTGCTATCAGAAAATTCCACCTATTTGTACAGGTAGTTGTTATGATACCTGAATTGAAAAACTGAACTACATAAATGAAAATACAACCTCAAGTGGAATCTTATCCCAGTAACATATCCTATGGCATTGGCTCAATACAGATTTCTTTAGTTAGCAAGTATTCGATCCATTATAAAATGCAAATCTGATCTTGCATGCAACTGAGATCAGGCTGTAAGGCAGCAAAAGAAGCACAAAGAGATCTGCAAAATACCCTCGTTTTTATGAGAAGTCATGTATGTACCATAACAGTTCTCCTGCTGTGCTGCAGTCAAAGATAAAAGTTTACTAACGGATCCTGCATAATGTCTACTTTTAATATAATTTTCCAATTAAACAGCACCTGGGCAAACTAGCATTAGTTACTGAAACAGCTTCCATTCAGTTAATCTGTACTCTCCCAATAAAACCACGGCTGACAAGAAGCAGATTGCCTTAACAGACCACAACAGACTTCCAATGCTAATCAGGAGTACAGTTGGGTGCCTCAATTTGAGATAGAAACCAGATAGTTACTATTTCCAGACTGTGTTGAACAGCTAATATTATAAAGTCCTCAACTGTAAGCTACACTTGACCAAATGAAATAAGGAGGATACATACTGCAGACTATTTCAGACAAAGGTAACACCAAAAAAGATCAGCTTCAGATACAATTCTACGGAGACTGTTTGGCATTGCCACACAATCAAAAAAAACCCAACCCATAAACCTAATATGTAAAAAGACTGTAATCAAAACTTACTACCCACTTCATATTAACCTTGACAAGGATACAATGGAGATGAGAAGCTTCCCCAATCCTCAACCAGCAACACGTCAAAGTAATTCTAAACTAATATTCTTACACCTTATTATCTTTCAGAAACAGCTCAACAATCTCACGAAACCTTTTGAGTGTCAGACCAATAAGCTCAAATACTAAGTGAAAGCAAAACTTTTGCTTATAGCAGCTGTAGAAATGAGGACTGAATGTAACTATGCATGTGAATGGTAAATTTTTAATTCCTCTTCTTCCCTATGTAACAACTGCTACATATATTATTTATCACTTGCTCTATACAGACTGAACTGTACACTGTTCTTCTACATGTATATGGACTTTGCTACTTGCCCTATTCAGCTTTAGAAAATGGAAGACTGAATTTAGAAAATAGTTGCAGAACACAGTTTTGCTTCAATAGATTGGTCCCATCGTATTTACTTGTTTTAACAGCAAAACGTTAAAATTTTACAATTTTTTCACATAATAAGTGATGACAACTTAGCTAAGGAGACACGATGAAGTGTATTTTCTTCTTCTACACCAAAGTGATTCCTTGACTAGGGAGCAACTTTGAATAGCTGCCCTCAGCTGCTGATGCAGGTAAGGCAGAGGATGACAGCCACACTATGTTCCTTGCTCCAGCAGGTCACTGAGAAATGGATTACCTATGTGCACCCAAGCAATGAGTGCTGAAATAACAAGAGAAACACATCACTTAAAAAGCTTTCCAAAAGCAGAAATGCCTTGTCAAAAAAGGTATCTAGATGCTGTCTATCACACACCTCTCTAGACCTGGTACTTAAGGTAAGACTAACATTAGCAACGCATTTCTTTTTCAAGTGTGCAGCCCATTCACACATTTGGTCAGTTCTCCATCGCAGTGAGTGGGGAGAGAGCCAAAGGAAGGGAAAACACAGTGGCCAGCTACAAGCTAAATGAAGGAGGCATGGATTCATTAGGTGGACGCAACGAGGGGCAGAGACAGCCATGCACGACAAGGGGCTCTGAGTACTTACCTAGGGGCTGGAAAGAGCGGACAGGGCTCGTGTCCCTGCTACTTTCACGGCTGGCCTCCCGACTGCACCCCTGACTCACACTAGGCCGAGGAATGCGGCTGCCTCGTGCTAGTATGATTCAGGGTACAGACAAACAGCAGCACAGAAGGGAGAAGACATAAGAAAAGTTGCAGTTTTAATGCAAGTCTGTTTTGCAGAAAGATCAAAGACGTGTTTCTAAGAAAAGACATTGATGGTTATGTCACATTTTAAGTCATAACTGTTTCCACAGACTCCCTTGATTGAGTTGGATTATTCTAAGTGTAGCTAGTTCAATGAAATTACTGCCTTGCATAGCTCAACCTGGGAGTTTATCAACTCCTTACAGAATGGTGGGAAAATCTTTTCGAAAGGATGGAGGAAAAACAAGTAACACTGAGTACTGATTCAGAATTTGTGCTCAAGATCAAGTTAATCAACAGTAATGCAAATGACAAAATCCATAGCTTGCTAAAGAAGAAAAAAAATAATGCAGTTAAGGTAAAAATAAAAAAAATACAAAACAAAGAACAGCAGCAATGCCATTAAAATCAACTGGTATTTTCCAACAATGTTGTTTGCAATGAAGTGTAATCAGATTATCCTGTGAGGTTTAAGATACATTCACTTTAGTATCATAGCAGGATCCATGTCCACGCACACATACATAGAACACAAAGTAATGAAGAAAATACTTTTGGAATGGTATCACACTTTCATACAATGGATGTAGGTATTTTGGGGATGAAGTGAAAAAGAAGTGAAAGAGAAGGAAGAAAGGGAGTTGAGAAAAAGAACAACTACTGCATTCTGACAGTAAAAATTTCAAGTTCAGCTTCAATTTAAGACTGTCTTGTATGTCACAGACCAGCCTTGGAAAACAGCCACATTTTAGATTATCAGTATCTAGTCTGTTTTATTCATCCACCTATACCTAAATACAAGTTGTAGATACGCAGTACTTAAAGTAAGAAGGGCTATAAAAAAACCAAGAGTTGTCTGGTGATTCTTACCTACTGACAGCCTAGAAGGGCTAGCTTCTCTACTGCATCCCTGACTCCGTGGGATTTTGCTTCGTTTTTGTGCAGCTGCAGGATTTACTAACACTCTCTGAACTCCTGTGTTCATGGTGGAAAGTGTGGTTGTTGTCAAAACTCTTCCAGGAGACCCAGATCTACTGCCAGCTGAAGGATATAAATGAATAAATATAAGTTAACAGCACAGAAGATACACAACCATGGTTAAAAAAAGAAAACAAAGCTGAAAGTTAGTAGGAAAGTGGTGATTGACTGAAATGATCAGGAAAAACTTACAAGGTAAAAGTATGAAACAGAATGCCTTGGTTCCAGTTCCTAGAGTACTACATACAAGGTAGTTAACATTATCAATGCAGGCAAACACTTGACATGGTATTCAGCATTAATTAAACTTAAGAAACCATAAGTAATATTTCTAGACTTGATCAAGAGTTCCACTGTCCCTAACATGAACATTGCTGTTTTCAAATATTTTTTTAAGCTATGTGGTCTCACTAATCACATTTTTTCTTAAAATAGAAAAACACCCAAACTGTCAGAAAGCTAATGGAAGCAACTAGGATTTCATAATTATCCCAGCTCTTTCAATGCAACCATTGCTGTAATAAAATAACATAATTTCCCTAACATTTAACCTCTTTTCCCTTGCTTTTAACAGCATGGGATCTTCAAGCACTATTTTCTGAAGTTAGATAAAACGTCACTGAAGACAACCAAAATGCTCATGTTCCTTTCTGTGGAGGTTACCCCACAAGTTAGACAAAATCTTCAATTAGCTTTAAACAAGCTAAAAAATGGATTTAGACAGATTTAAATGTCTTATGTTTTTGCTAATCAAAGCTGTACATTACAAAGCCCCGTAAATGTTCCAGATATGCTGTACTTGCTACCAGAAACTGTGGTCACTGATCCCTAATTTTAGTATTTCAGCTACAAAACATTTACGTTTTAAGTCCTAACACAGAATCCATTCTTCTCTAGCTATAATCAATTTATGCCACCAGGAGACACATTGCTTTCAGCTGCAGAATTTGAGAAGTCTGACTTACTCAAAAGCAAAACAGAATTTCAACCAAACGTTAATTACATACATATTTGAACTCCTCGTTAATCTCAATAAAATAGTCAGGTAACTGTATGACCACAGCGATGCTATCACATCTACAGACTTCACATGCAACATCTCAAGTGAATTTCATGGATTACTTCTTATGAGGTACATTTAAAAAAAATATACAAGTTGACTAAAGCTTGACTGTATGGGAAAAGAAACAAAACCCCAAACGAAATAAAATATATGCTGAGTAGAAGGGAGAAGTCTAAAACTATGTACCATGCACATACTTTCAGATTCATTGTTTGAGTTCAAACTTCAAATGATTAATTAGCAAAATCCCTTTTCCAAACTGTGGACCTATTCAGCAGAAATGATAAATAAAATATTACACAGCCTGGAAAAAAACAAGCACAAATTCTATAGCAACAAAAGAATAAGTGAAGCTATAAAATTGCTGTGATCTGCAAAAATTAAAGGTTTGGCAGTTTCTTCGTATCAGGGCAATTCAACCTGGACCTGGTATTACTATGCCTTCTTCCTGGTTCCTATCTCTTTAAACGATAAAATTATTGTCAAAGGTTGCACTGTGCCAGAGACTTATAGAAGATTTTAATAGGTCAGAAACCTGAAAAACTATTCTTCCCAGAATATACAGAAGAAATGCAACCTCTCTAATACTTCATCTTCCTGTAGTCTGACCTGCAAAGTGTAACCCATGTAGTATAAATAAACCAAATGAAGCTTTAATACCCTGACAACATTATGCTCATAACAGCAATGGCATAGTCTTGTTGGTATTACCACCAGGAGTAGATCCAAGTGAACTGAATGATGAAAGAATTATCGTTCAGGCAGTATTCCAAAATGACAAGTTTCTTCCATCTCTACTGCTTTCAACATAAGGATTACACCCAATTAGTTACATGCAGCAAGTGGGAAAAAAAATGCCAGAATTTCTGCTGAATAGGGTCCTTCGATGAGATATGTCAAACAGGTGATCAAACAATGATACACAAATTCTGTAGACTCTTACCACCAATGGGGTTAGCAGACTGTGATCCTGAACAAGTGTAAAGGCAGGATTAGGGTAGGGATTTATAATCCGTGAAGAGGGAGGGAGCAGAGCAGATTAAAAAATGGATGGCAAATGGAAATAAGAAAGCTTTAGTCATTTCACACAGGAAAAAAGCCACAAGGGGGTTATGCTAAAGCAGTGCTTTTAAGTAGCTTCCACAATTGAAGAATTAAACTCAGATGCTATGTACAAAGCAGATGAAGCAAAGCTGCACAAGCAAATTACAATTCTTCAGCTTTCTAATCAACAACTCAATAACGCTGAAGAATTACATTTCAATTAAACATGAAACTGTAGGCTTCATATTACTTTAAAAGAATATCACATTGCCAAAAATGCTCAAGAAATTCAAAAGCTGAACAAAAATTACACACAAGGTCAAAACTCTTTATTTTGAGACACAACAGTAAAGGAACTGAGCTGCAGGTGCGGTGGATGACCAAAAAAAAAACCAAACTCACAATGGCACAATTGAAAAGACTTGCAGAGAATTTCAGGTTTTCTTCTTTAAAATTAATCTGAAGTATAAAAGTAAGAATTTGTTTCCATTCAGAAATTCTCTGAATGAAGACTATAATGTAATTTTATCACACCCTGTTGAATTACCTGACAATCAAACAGGAAAGGAGAGGAAAAAAATGGTTACATTTTTTTCCATATTTTTTCCATAGATAAGAATAATTAGTTTGTGTTACAATTTAAAAACAGAAGAAGAAGGGTAAAGGGCTTCTGAAACCCTAAAAAGGTATTTTTTGTCAAAGCATTCAAATTTGCAAGTCTTTCATAAAATGATCTTTGAACAAAAGATAGCTGGAACCCAAAAGTTAAAAAAGCATCTGTGTTTAAAAAAAATAAAAGCTTAAATCGAGTATGAAGCTATTCTCTCATTATATAAGCAAGGGAACTAAAAATTCCCCTGTATGGAAACATCAAGCATCACGCTTCACACAATGCTGTGAAAATTTTCAGTCACATAGAGAAGCATCACCCAAATAGTTGGCATACAGTGCCTGAGAATTCTCCTTCGCCTGTCCATTTGTATTTGCCCTGTTATCTTCCTTAAAACATCTCAGAATTCTTGTCTCCCCCACTGACAGGTTATAATGAGCTATTTGAAGCAAACGGTTCTGAACAGAAGTAGTAATAAAAGGCTGTAAAGTTGCATTCATGCATTTAATTTTCACACATCATCACATGTAGTCAGAGCTAGTTATCTCAATATCAATTTAACTTATCTCTCTAGACATTAGTACTGTGCAAAATTGACTTTTCTTGGAAAAACTGTCATTAGTAAAAAAACTGAAAAGGCTTCATTTTGTTTCTCTGAATATACAGTTTAGTTAATATTATATGACAATGATCATCACAGAAGTCTTATACTGCCAACTAAATTTAACCCCTCCCACAGTCATTTATCAAACACCTACACTTTTTAAGAATTTACCAAATCTATTCCAAGTACAAAACTATATTCAAAAAGCTTAATTCAGAACTTTCCTAATACTAATGAAAAAAGGTGTTTAAGACACTGCTTATAGCTTTTCATAGAGGGGGCAAAGTGATTTGATGGAACTGTTATCTTCCCTCCCTCTTAAATTCTTAATTCACATATTCTTTGCTTATCATACAGTGTAGGCATCTCAACACTGAATGCATAAAACAAGTTTTGCACAACTTTTGTCACTGCCAATAACAAGGCTTGTTTTCAAGCTCTCATCTCACAAACACTTGTGGGATTAGAGCACTGTCAAAGCTCCTAAGGGAGCTTCTGTTGCTGGATTTTATAATGCTCTATTTATCTATTCACAATGTTTGAAAACTTTGTTTCACAGGAAGTTGCAAGCACTGGATCAGGTTTGATCCAACTGTATGTGCTGGAAGTGAAGTAATGCAAAACTGAATGGCGAGTACTAACAGGAAAAAACCCACCCCAACCGCTTCTAACCTGCTTTTTTGACTTCTAAATTCATTCTATTTATGATAAAAGCAGTCACTGCTCTGAAGACAAATGTTTCTGCCATTAAACACATCATAAAGGGGTCTTATTAAAAGAAAGTGGATATAGTTAGTGATAGCAAAATAACTGTATTGTAAACTGCAAACCCAGTATAATTCACTGGGTTCAGAACATTAGACTTGACAAATTATAGGACTGGGTAGTTTATTTTACTTTTATTGCTAATTTGTCTTCCTTTCATTAATTTCATTGCATTTCACTTAATTGGACAAAGATAAGGACCTGAGAATGCTACAGAGCTTAGTCAAAAAATGTCTGTTGGAGACACATCAGATGCGTGGACAAATTGCTGTAGGTCAGCCAGTGCCAAAGAGTGGGAGGTAATCAGGTCTTTTTAATTAATGAGAAAGTGCTTGGCTAGACTGGAGATGTCACATCTGCTTTGGTTACTAAATACACATAGAAAATTACAGTGGGTTAGCTGGCATACATTAAATTGTTTGGTTTAACCCTTTGACTAAATATAAGCTAAGTAATTGATTGTAAACTGAGGATTTAGTATTTTAACTCCAAAGAAGAGTTAAGTGAAGAGCTGTCATACAAAAAAAGGAGTATATATCCAAGAGCTAGAGCAGTGCTCAGCTTAAAGTGAAAATGGGTATTTCTGGATAAAGTACAACTTTTCTTTTTACGTGGAAATTTAGATTTTGCAGGTAACACTGAGGACACCACTGAGCCTACCCATTCTTCTGTATTACTTGTCCATGTGTTATACCTAAGTTCACTGGTCTTTTGTGCTGGGGAGGTCACAAAGCGGGGGGAAAAGAATGTTGAGAAGTTATAAATGAAGACAGAATTTAAGGGTAGATTTCACTTCCTCTTGTATTATCTAATTTAATTGGCAAACTAAGGCCTAACCTAGTACTTTGTCCAGAGAAAAACAACATGAATTAGAAAAGCATGCAAATACCACTGACCCAAAACACTGAAAAAAATACCTTCATTTTTGTCTGGCGATGATGAACCTAAGGCACAGAACAACAACTCAGTATGTAGCTTTTTTAAAAAATTTAACTTTGACTGTAGCCATTGGTCAATGAACATATGTTTAAGAATTTGGCCTCTTTACTGGGTACAACAGGCAAACAGAAAATACATACGCTGAGATTGTGACACCACTTTGGTTCTACTCCGTCCTCTGGAATCTGTTTTAGAACTTCCAAAACCAAGAGAAGGGGTTGAAAGCTTTGTTCGTACACGACCTATAAAAGAAAAATGGTATTAAATCAGTTTTTCAGTCCTGTAGGAAACAAAGTATCAGTAGCATTTACTAATACTTTCTTAAGTTTCTGTAGATAAAGAAGCGTAATGTTACGCAACTGGTGAAAATTTGCTTGGGATAATTAGTAGAAATTTGAACACCTTGAAGGATTTAACAGTTGAGGAATCAAAATACTTCTCTGATGCTACATTTCTGTAAACTATTTACACTTCATCAATTAAACACCCTGAACTAACAAGCTAGTTCTTTCTTCCTACATGAATTGATTACATTACAAAAGGGGAAGTTTATTAAATACGAAATGCAGTGCATGTGCTATTGCTGCTGTATCAGGTACAGTCTTCTCATGATCACTTGTGGTTCTATTTTTCCTGTCATAAAACTAAAAAACTTATGCTGACTCTTTTGAATTGGATTCTGCAGTTTCTTCATAACTTCATTCCTTGTTTTAGAGACCTAAATACTAGCTTTCCTATTACTGAGATTCTGTTTTCCTGGCCACAGTCCTACAGACTTCTACCAGATTTCCCAAACCTTTCAAAGTATATTGTAAAGACTAAGTACACTTGAGTACTTCTCAGCAGCAACATGATATAAAGAAATACTACTCTCCTCAACAGATGGAAGAACTGAGGAAGAGACAGATTAAATAGAGCATCTACAAATAAAACAACAAATCGACTTCTCTCTAGAATGCCAAACTCTTGGTTTTAGCTTAAACCTTTCAGCATTGTTAGCCATGTTCCTCGTAACATCCAGCATATACAACTAAATTAAAAAGGAATGGAAGACCCCAGTTGGATGAATGATAGGTAACAGAAATATCATTTTTTTAAATATTGAGTTGTGTCCTGCACCAATCTCTCAAACAACACAAAAATGAAATCAAAACCAAACCCATGCTAACCATAATTCTTCTTAGTTGCATGAACAAACCCCCAAAAGTCTGTACAGGGTGGATCTAGCTCAACAAGTAATCCACTTTTAAACCCAGCATCATTAAAATATTTTGTAGACACTTAAGAGTCAGTATTTGACCCAGAAGAATTAGGTACACAGACTGCTATTTAGTTCTAGCCTCTTTAGGCTTTCCACAGCAGAATTTGGAGACCAACCAAGTTAATATTATTCATCCAAGTAGAGGGAATACCCATAGATGAGAGTCTATAAGAAGAGAATCAGGATAAAGAAGGTTATTCACTAAAATATTAGAAAACAATATGCTAGCAAGAATGGTTAGATTAACCAGTCCAAACTCTACTAGTTATCCCCGTGCAATGGCAATGTTTTCCCACTGAGTGCTGAGACTGCAAGGCATGTAACTGCATTCAGAATTTGGCCCCAAAACCTAGGAATACAGAGTGCCACTATTTCAATACTATGTTAAATTATCACTTGGAACCTGGTTCAATTTTATCAGTGTAAAAAACCGGTTTGTGTCTGTGAGGCAAATGAACTGTTAACTCATTTGGAGTCAATACATCCATTCAATAATAACAGGTTTAATGTTAACAGCGTACTGAAAATTAGCTCCCAAGTCTCAAAGAGATGAGTAATAGCAGCACCTGCTTCCCAGAGCATGAACACATTTGATGAAATATACTGTAACAAGATTTGCTTTACGAAACAAATGCAAAAGTATGAAGCCTGTGTATTTTCACACCAGAAATGTTAAGCAATGACACTTCTACTGCAGATGAGTACTTGAGAATTAAAATAAAAGCAAAAGAATTTTAAAAATACATGTAAACCAAGTATTAGATGCATAAGCTATCTGTTATGAACCTCCACAAAGCCCCAGAAAGACCATATTCTACTTTGAAAGCTTAACTTGTATCAATGAAAACATGAAGCTGAAAATATTAGCTTGTCTAACAAAACAATTTCTTACCATCTTCAGAAGCTGTTCCTAAACAGAAAAAATAATAAAATACATGATATTCCAAACAATACTGTATCTCTCAAATTCCTTTTTGAGATTAATCTTAGGAGTCTTGACAAATTTTATCAAGTCAAGAGAGCTAAAGTTCTTACGCTGCAAGTCTGTAACTGAATTGAAGCAAAATCAAGAAACAACCATACTACACTGTTAGTGATTTACAAGAACACAATGCACAGCACTGCCTTCCAAATTTGTTACAAAGCCACAAAAAAGTCAATAGACAAAATTACATCCATGAGATAAGTCCAAAAAAAAGACACTTATAGATCAAAACCAGACATTAAAAATACTGCAGTGCAAGCTCTTCTGAAAATATAAAACATACCATTACAGATTACCTCAGAGAAAAACAAAAGGACAGTGTTTCCCACACTGCACAGTGACAATTTGATACAAACTGCCAGTGAGGAGGATTTCTCTGAATTAAGTCCAGGATTACTCTGAAGATCTACATGCACAAGATCAGGTTTTGCTCAGAGAAGTGAAAGGAATATAAGCTTGCTGAAATCAGATCACACTTAAACAAGCACACCAAGCTTAACAAGGCTTGATTATGACAAAATGAGTGTCAGACAAGCCTTTTTCCTGACATCAGGAACTAGGAATTGAGGGGAAGCTGTCTAATTAGCAGTTCTTCCTCTCTCTAAATTCATATCAGTAGGGATAAAAATGTTAAATGCTTCACAAAAATCAAAGGCTACTTTTCTTTTTGTTTTCATTCTCTGACATTTCTGCCTTGCAAGAGAACTACAACAATGAAAACATCTGTTAGTGTCTTTGGCCTAAACTTAGCTCTTTCCACAATTCTGGCTATGACTTTCTCTTGTTATAGTATCTTCAAGGCACTGTTTATAAAAACTCCCTCTAAAAAATCAATTAAGTGCAAATTTCAATGCTTCTTCAGAAAAAAGAGTCACAGTAGTATGGATGTAGGAGAGCCTTGAGGTTTTCCAGATTATTTGCCAGTTTGTTTAAAAAACCAAAACAAAACCCCACAAAATCCTCAGAAGTCCAAACCCTAAACTATCCCTCCAAATCCAACATCCTGCCAGAGCTGGATCTTGGAAGGCAGGTTCTATGCAACACCTAAGCCAGGCTAACACATAGCTGCTCCTAAAAGAGATGGTTCCACTTCTTCCTCCTCTCTGCACCTCTGTGTTACCTACCACCTGGTTTGGACAGCTTAAGTCTCACTGGGAACTCCAAGAGCTAAATAACAGAATACTATTCCCTTTTGTTTTATGAAGTCAGTTTTATAGAGTTTGTTCACCTATAGTGATTGATACAAGGCAGTAATGAAAGAAGAGATAAGAACAAGTGGACAAGATTAGTGGGAACAGGAAAAATTATTAGTTCCTTCTGGTGGTGGTTAGATCAGAGCAGCTCTATCATACAACTACAGCTGGAGAGCTAAGCTGTGTTTATGCCATTTCACACATCGTATCTACAGATATCCCCTAGAAACCATCCTGCCCCACTACTGTCATCAGTTGCTCAGCACTTCTCCTACTATTTTTAAACAGGTATGTGCAACACTATCAGCTGCGACTACTGCTCTGAACAACAGAAAAAACCTGCACACATGGCCCTAAGAACTTTTATTGCTGGTGACAATGTGCAAAACCTCAAAACTAGGTGCTTATAAAAAGTTAGAAATAAATCCTATCATATGCAACATAAGGAAATCTGATGTGGAATTAAGTGATACAGAAACTACTATGCTGTACCAACGCTCCTCATTTTATTAAAGTAAGCTTCCCATCTTCGATGCTCAAAACCAGCTGAAATTCTTTCAACAAGTATCTGTGCTTTAAAATGATTCAGGATTCTGGGTTTGAGAAATCTACCTTCTTACTGTTTTAATTTCTACGAAAAATACCATTTGCTTTGCTTCCAGTAATCTCCTCATTCTTTGAAACACATACTGTTAATGAATATATGACAGGAATTATGAAGTAAGCAGTAAACTGTTCGTACAAACTTAAGTGCTTGTTAAGTGTTCTGAAGCAATAAATTAGAACTAGAATCATTGGGCATTAAGATGGGACTGTCACTTTATAGTATGGGAAGCACTACACACACCTGAAACAGACAACTGCTATGAGAAGCCTGATTCTCAACTGCTTTGCAGCCCCTCCATGTGCTTATAATGGAGAAAATTAAGAAAAAGCAAGTACCAAAACTTAGGTGGAGCCTTTGGTAAGCTATTTTAACATGTAGGTCTTCTTCACAAACAAGTTTTCAATAGAATTACATTGCATTACAGGATTTACAGACACATAAAATTACATAGTTAGAATAGATTTTGATAGAGAAGATTTAGGCTTTGGGGTTTTTTTAATCCTTAATTATATGGTCAAGCATCTTCTGCTCTCCCACTGCTGTTCTATCAAGTCAAGAAAATTGACTTTAATTGTAAAACTAAGAAACATGCCGGAACTGACCTAGTTAAAAAGCAGCATGTACTGATCACAGAATTGCTCTGTAATGATTAGAGCTTCTTTTAAAGAACAGGAGAAATGCCCAATTTCTGATAAAGTTTCTGCTGCTGACACAATCATTCAAAATATTGACAAATACAGCAATAACACAACATATATTAAGACAACAATTTCATATGGGTTAATGAAAACAGCATAGTAAGTTTGTTAATAAACAGACATATATATTAAACATCAATACTTTTACATAAAAGACACTTTATTAAACATTTAATAGAATTAGAGGACAGACTAAACAATTTCTTACCATCCATCTTGTCAGAAGTATCCTCTTTGTTGAAAAAGCAGGCAAAGAAACATGGAAAACTTAGTGTGTTAGAATAAAGGTGTTCACAGCAGTCATAAAACATTAATTAAGGAAAATACATTAATATTAAATACAGCAGACATGTTTACCTAATTCATGCATGTATAAGCTACCTTAAGTAAAGTTGGTTTCTCTCAGTCCATGGTACAAAATTACAAAATAGGGTGCAAGTACCCTGCACAGGGATACTGCATCTCTCTGTATTTCCCAGATATGAGAAACCCTCACAGTGTAACATTTGTAAATGGTTTTGTGCTTGGTGTAAACAGTTACTGAAGCATCAGTACATATTTATATCATTACTGCACCACAGTATTTGCATTTCTTACAAAATTTGCTACAGAGCAGAAGCTCTACCTGTGGTAAAGGACAGGACAGGGAAAAAATACCACAATATGACAGATGACAAACAGGAGAAAGTTTCACTCTGGTTTAAAAGCATTAAATATTTACCAGTTCAGCTGGAAGGTAGTACATAAATATTCTGACAGTAACAATCAAAATTAAAATATTTAGCATGAGACATATATATAATTACAGCTTAAGTCTCCTCAACAAGGACATTAATACTTAGGGACTTCAAAGACAGTCGACATTTAAAGTAACTAAAGCAGAGAATGTCCTCCTGCTTCTAAAACAGTCTTTCAGAAAACCATAAATAAACAGGAGTTCTTCTATTAATAATAAAAAGGGAAGAGATGGGTGGAGACAGTGATAGATTACTATGCGCATAAGCTTGTGACCCTCTGAGCCTTTAAATTTGGTAACTGTTTAAGCAAAAGCTGCATGTTTCTCTGCAAATAAGGGTGGAAACAAATTCAAACTCTAGGAGGCAATGCTATTTATTTTGGTACTGACTGCAACAGCTGAGAGATATGGAAAGCATTATGGCAATACAGCAGCATTTTTTAGGCCTTTCTGTACCATGGTCAGCATTATCCTGACCATTCAAACATTTAACTTTACATACTTCAGCTAGTATAAACAAGCCCCTTAAAATGAACAGAGGGAAGAAGTTTGCAAATTAGCTCATTTTCTGCAACATGGCACTTGCTTGGATTCACACTCCTTTCATTTTAAGGTTACCTTTTGAAAACTAGGAGTAAACAGTATTTTGAAGTGGATTCCATGGTGAATCCACAGCCAAACAAACAACAGTCACACTCTCAACATGGATAAGAGGGGACAGGTATGTGTCATTTAAATTACCACAATTCAAAAATTGTTAGGAGACTGAGCCAAGACCAATCAAGCAGTACTGCTTTTGTGTGACTGTAAACAAACCTTGGTCTCCTTGACTATCACTGCCCTTACACTGCCTGCAATTGTATTCGACATTATTTTGCCATTTCAAATGACCATTATGTCATCTCCACAAGTAACTGCAGCTGCTAGCATGGCAACGATTTCCAGCTACTCAAATCCTTCAAAAGAATATGACCTGGACTTACAGTTCATTATTCCTCTTCCCAACCCTCTCTCACCAAACTATAGACCACACAGAGAAAAAGCTGTTTCTTAATTTCTGTTATTTTCATGTCTAAAACCACCACCATTTACTTCACTGAAAACCTCTGCCCTTCTCAACCCTTGCTTACAAAATTCTGGGCATGAATCATGTATTGGCTAAAATGATATACAAGCAAACCAATACTCCAATCATGAACTGATTTTCTGTGAAACTCTTAAGAACAAGCAAGTCCCTTCACTTCAGCAGCATGAGGAAGACAGATTAAAAGAGCAAGATTTCTTTGTTTTCCATTTAACTTTTTTCCCCCGTCACCCCTCTCTGTGCCACTTTATTTCTCAAACAGCTGAACTCCCACCTTGCCTGAGGTTCACAATCTGTCCTGTTGCACATCAAAAGAGACCAGGCAATACTCAGATCTTGGAAAATAATTATCCCACCTATTTCAGGCTTTTAGGCATTAAGTTAGAAGGAACTGAGAATTCCTCAAGCAAGCACAGAATCATAGAATGGTTTGGATTGGAAGGGACCTTAAAGACCATCTAGTTCAACCTCCCCTGCCATGGGCAGGGACACCTTCCACTAGAGCACGGTGCTCCAAGCCCCATCCAACCTGGTCTTGAATACTTCCAGGGATGGGGCATCCACAACCTCTCTGGACAAGCACAAGCCTTGCTCCCCTCCATGAAGCAGTGTAACACTGGCATTCACCTGCTCCCTCTGTGGGCACCAGAGGGAGCCACACCAGAAATAACTATTTCATGTAGCAACTATTCCTTTCAGCCAGGATTGCTCACACTTCGTTCTACAATCAATGCTGTTCAAACCATTTCAAGTAGGCCCTGATGACAAATGGAGTCCGTTCCTTTTAAATAGTTTTTAACTTACATTTTCATTTCAAAAAGCACAACCAAAAGCTCTGAAAACCATAGTCTACATGTATGCTAACATCTCCACAAACACAAGGTAAACAAAAACAACTATACAGTTTCTTTCCCTCTGCCAATATTCCTTTACTTAGTATTCCTTTACTTAGAATCCCCACTTAGTGGAAATTCTAGCATCTACACCACCACTACTATAAATACTTTTCTGCACTCTTATGACTTGCAGCACTTCCTATGTCTAACAGCAACTATTCCTATCAACAGAGAACATCATACCTAGATAAAACACAGATACATACAGTTCCATCAGCAACTTCAGGAAGAAATCCACGAACTTGGTGCTATATACTGTTGTCTAAAACACTTCTGTATTGCATTAAAAAGCCACCACTTACTGCCAGGATGTCTCTTTAGTGTTGTAGAACAGTCAGCTAAAGAGCTGAGAAAAATGGAAAAATCAAGAGCCCTCACACTCATTTCCCTATAATTACTAGGATCAAAAGACCATGATCATGATTTGTTGTTATGCAAAGCTACCACTCCTTCTGATACTTAATATTAATTCCAGATTGGCATTTAAAGAGCACAGTATAGATACATTTTTTGCATCAGCATTCTTCCAGCACAGGGAAAATGGAAGACCTAGCAAAGCTGGTAACTTGATAACACCTGCTCATACGCCAATACTACTAAAAGCGATGACAACTTTTCAAACACAGACATCTTCCTGTCACTTTTTAAACCAAAAGCTCAAAAAAGCAGTTTCACAGCATTGCAAAGATTGTCT